TAGGTGACTCGAGGCTCGCGATCCAGCAATCACTAGGGGTGATAGCATGTCGGAAGGAATCCCTGATGGCACTGCTGAATACTTACAAAGAACTCACGGTAAAGCTACGATCAGTTAAATACCTTCACGTTGTGCGAGAATATAACGCTGCCGCTGATTCGCTAGCCACCGAGGCTCTGGAGTCCAACGTCAGTCGAGTCATATTAGCTGAAACACGAAAATCGGCTGGTATATGAACTAAATGAAGACTCAGCAGAAGTTCGACCACGTCAGGAAGAGCGCTGCGTACATGTGCTGACCGGCAACGTACGTCTCCACGCAAGACTTTCGAAAAATTGGTGAGTGACGTCAATTCGAGAAAATTGAACACCATTGGAACTATGGCGGTAATGACGAGACGACAAACTCAAGCTAAACGTGTTCGATTCGCCGATGAACATTCGGAACAGGCACCTAAAGGTCGAGAACAAGGTAAAGAGCGTGATGGAGTGGTCAACGAGCATTCTCCGAACAACATTTCACAGGATCAACCCTCCAGCACTAAGCGGATGTCAGCGCCTGGTGCTGAAGACATCGACCACGAGAGCGACGCCGACGAATAGCCAAGGCGCAGGACGAAGAAGTGGGCAAACCCGAAGAAAGTGCTTCGTGGAGAGGCAGAACAGATGAGCTACAAAGAAACTCGAAACGCATGGAAATATGCAGACCGATTCGTTCTGTCAGAAGACGGTGTGCTTCACTATCTGGGTTTGAACCGACGATACGACAACGGGTGGCAAGAGGAGACCAAGCTGCGTCTAGTGATACCTACCACAATGATTCAAGAGATATTACAGAATTGTCACGACTCGTTGGAAGGCGGTCACCAAGGTGTCGTCAGGACATTCCACCGTGTTAAGTCCGACTATTACTGGATTGGGTTGTACGCAGATGTGGAGAAACATGTGAAGTCGTGCCTGGACTGTAGTTCAAGTAAGGGTCGCCCACAGTTGCGAGGATACTCACCAGGTAATGTACTGGCCGAGCGACCGTTCCAGATTGTCTCTATGGATTTTGTGATACCTCTACCGAAGACACGCAGGGGCAACACAGCCTTGCTGCTATTCC